AGGAGGAGCTTCCCTGCCAGGAAAGGGGGTTATATGCCACTAGATGCATTGACTTTCTTCCAGTCACTTTTTGTTGTTGTATTGCATATTACCAGATGTTTCAAAACACCAATTTCCATTTCTTTTAGTACTCATAATTTGTAAATGCTTAAAAAGTGATTATGTATTACTTATGCCTGATAGCAATTTGGTGTGATTCTCCCATTTCTTTTTCTCATGTGTCATTATAGCTCTCTAGAAACCAAGGTGAGAATTCCAAAGTTAGTGCTGACCTCAGACATTGTTTTTCTTTGTTAGACATATGGGTTAGGATTTGAAAATGACTAGGAAGAGGTACATTCTTTTTATTCTGATTAAAAAAGATAAGTAAAAGATTAATTTTAGCAGGATAGTTTCTGTTTTTTAAAATCTTAATCCTAAATTCCATGATTAGCAGCCTAAACAAAGTGTTATTAAATGATCACACAGGAAACGGGATTAATGTGACTTCCCATCATTGTGCTAGCCTGGTCAGCATGATAAGGTGTAGACCTGACCCTTGTAGAATCAGGTTATGCTACCTCATCTGAATCGTGGCAGCAAATAGGAGACAGGATTGCCAGGGACCAAAGCTGTTAGAAGCAATAAGAGCAAAATGCCCATGCAGTTATTGGCTCACACCAGTCAGAGAATCCTAGGATCAGTGAGCAGGAAGTTCGTTTAGCCTCCCAGAATTGCTGTATGCTTCAGTTTGCTGGAGTATTCCTCTTATTATCCTGTCCTTACTGGTTTCCTATTTCAAACACTACATGGATGACAAATTCACCTGCTGAGTCACATTTAGCATCTTTTTCTCTTTGCTCTCGAGATGTACAATGGATTTAGGGGAAATCCAAGGTTACAAGACCTGTTTTCTTTTGGAGACGGAAGAAAAGCACACGCTGAGCACTTTCAGCATGAGTGAGGTATCATGGTTGGCAGATGTAGAGACTGAGGCGCAGAGAGATTCTATAACTCTCCCAAGGTCACATGACTAGGAAGAGCGTGGTATAACCGGGGTTTAAGTGAGGTCTCTGACCCTGTGTTTGGTGTTCTTTGCATGCCTCTAAAATGAAGCCATTGCAAACTCTGAAGAAATGCTCTCCCTTGCCTGTATCAGTCCCTCTTTATAAATGCTGCTTTGGCAGATTTCCTTGTATTAAGTGGATGTTTGTGATCGTGCTTTCTTCCACCTCTCTCATTTAATCTCTTTATGAGGTCTGGGGTGTGATGTCTACCAGAGCTGAAAGGAGAAACACTTGTTGTCTACAAGGAGAGCTGGCAGACTGAGACGTGCCACTCATGTTGGATGTTAGTGCTGGGAATGGGTTCCCCAAATCTGCAGTGCCTAGTATCATTAATAGTGAGATGTGCTGAAGGGTAGACCAGATGTCCAGCAGCCAACTGCCTGTATCCAGTCTCAAGCATTCACGTGAAGGAACAAACAGAGCTTCAGAGGAGGGAGCTGACTGTGAAAGTGAGGTCGGGGAAGGTTTGGCAGTGGATATGGGTCCCAGGTCTTACAAGATGTTGAGGCTTGGGTGGGTGTAAGGAGTTGGGGGTGGGTGTGGGGTTGGGATGGGTAGAGGGCACTGGATTATGGGGGCCTTACATATCAAGCTGAGGAGTTTCAGTTTGGCCCCCAAGAAGGTAATAAGGAGCCATTGTAGGTTCTTGAGCAGAGGAGTGGCTCAGAGAAAGCAGTGTTTATTCTACTATGTGTGTGTGTGTGTGGGGGGGGTGGTGGTGGTTAGATTGACTCTGGGGAGAAACCCTATAAACATTTGTATTTAGGGTGTATGAGGCAAAAGCAGCAGTATTGTCAAGTCAAGGCCAATTTATGTTGCTGTAGAAACTTAGAAAAACAGAGTGCTACAACAGCATCTTTTTCTGTGTCACTTTGTAGGAAGCTACAGGCTTGGTGACCAAAGACTGGGAATTAGGGTGTTTAATTTTCACTATCTCTACCTTCTTTAACTATTTGTGGTTGATGTAGGGGTTATTATCCTAGATCATTTTAGATTGAGCCACGTGAAATTTCCATTCTTTTGCAGGTCAAAATGGAAGTACTGGCAAATTCACACGGTTCCATTTAATCAATTTTGTAAATTGTTGGTGATAAGTAGACACAAGCTGGTTTTTAGCTTTCTGGTTGGCTTGATGGGGGTAGGTACCAGGATACTGCTGCTTCTATTTAGCCTAAATGTACCACTGTTGTCCTCGGGAGGTGAGGCTGTTGCTGGAGACAAACCCAAAGGTTGTGCTATATTCTTCCTCTTCCTGCTTACAGACCAGGCATTCAGGGTCTCCTGATTTGATTCTCTCACCTTTAAAGAAGAAAACTTTGCTCTGGACTAAGGATTTTTAAGGGGGGAGGAGGGCTTGCACCTTGACATTGTGTTTTCCTAGCACTGCCTAGTAGCTTGATGCAGCCAGAACCCGGTTATGTTGGGGAGGTGAGGGATTGAGTTCTCACGCTTGTCCCCAGACACCAGAGGTTTTGAATGAGTTTGTGATTGCCTGGACAGTGGACTGAGCATGCCTGATGGTGGTGGAGCAGAGCTGCTCTGTCTTCACGTCCTTTGTCTCTGTGCCCTGGGATGGGGACCACTCTTATGGAGCCTCTCCTGGGTTCAGGGATGGGGTGTTCCCAGTTTACTCCCCTCACCACCAGGAATCAGGGCTGGATCTGGCTGAGAACATGCCCCTCCCCTGCCCCGACTCTGGGTACCACAGGGCCAAGTCATTGATCACCATACCTAAACTCCCTAGTTTCACTGGGACCTTGAGGCCGCAGGTCCCATCATGACTCACCTTACTGTTATCCTCAGTCACTATTCAATGTGTGAGCACTAACAGTGTCTGTCCTGTTTCATGAGGATTCTTATATGGTTCCCTGACATCCCATGCTGGACCCTTCTCTGGGACCCTCCTGAGCCCCCTTCCATGCTAAACTCTTCCTGCATCCCTAATGTATTCATCAAATGCTCCTTTGTCCTTCTGGTTCTCCCCTAAAAATCCCTCTCCTTTCCCTTCCCTGGAACAGAGAATTCTTTTCCATTGACTTAGCCTGATAAATATGTATGGCAGGTCCTACTCTGTGAGAAGCACCACAAGGAAAACAAATGACAACACTAGTCCCCTTGTGCACACACCTTTGAAGGTCCTCTTCCTTGGTATCCTTCCTTAATTTTCCCCATGAGGAAACACAGACTAGTGTTACTGCTGTAGAACTTTCTTCCTCTCAACTCTCTGACAAAATTGGAGGCAGACTACAGAGATTATGAGAAGAAAAGGAATAACAGATGTCCATAAATAGTTGAACTGTAAATTTAAGTGTTAAGCTCATAAATTTATGGCATATGGGATCAGTACCAGCCACTACTTGTCATCCAATCTGACACCTGTGTCTAGATGGAAATCATCTCAGGACAGATTGTGCATTATAATTAAAAAACAAAAAACATTCTGTGTAAATATGCTGGGCCAAATTGCGCATCCTGGCACAATTGGGGTTCTTGCTACAATTCAAATGCACATAAAAATTATTATCTTTAATCTCTTTTTAAAGGAAGCATAAACAGCAGATTCCTACACGTAGGGTAGGACAGATGGATCCTGTGGGGTAATGTAAATAATCCACAGCCCACCCTCATGGTGTAACTCAGTGACACATTCTGTCATTTTCCTGTTTCCTGACCCAGACTGAAATGGAAATTGAACCAATTTTGCCTCAACTGCTTTATTCTGGCTGGGCACAGTTGATCAGGAAATATGTCCTGTTTTATTCAATTATGCAGTTTATCAGGAAATACATTGAGAATGAGCGCATTTTCATTATTAAAGCTCTGAACATTAATATGACCTTGGTTTCTTTCTTTCTTTCTTTTTTTTTAGTATCAGGAAGAAAAACCATTTAGAGAAGAAAGTTTCTATACGTACACTGAAACTTGTTTCAACTTCCTTTCTCTTTCTCTTTCCCTTCCCTTTTTTCTTTCCCTTTCCCTCTCTCTCTTTTTCTCTTTTCTTTCTTTCTCTTCTTCCTTCCTTCCTTCTTTCCTTCCTTCCTCCCTCCGTCCCTTCCTTCCTTTTCTTTCTTTTTTGCAACCCTAAGAAATATCCACCAGGTCATGCTGGTCCATGAATTTTTGTGATGCCAAGTGAATTCTGCCTTATCAATATATTACTACCAAAATGATAATTATCATACAAAAGAAATATTGAGACTATAAGGACAGTATTAATAACTGGCCATTACTGTGCCCTTACTGTGTGCCAAACACCCCTTTAAGTGAACTTTAATTATTTTCCCATTTGCTCTTCACAAAAACCCTGGAAGGAAGGTGTTCTCATTCCTACTTCCTAGATGAAAAAACAGAAACCTGAGTAATTTGCCCACATTCACGCAAGTACCCAGTGGCCATGCCAGGATTCAAATCCAGATCTGTCTTCAGAGTCTGTGGTCATCACCTCTTCACATTTTCACCTCACCTCGAGTGAGTTGAAAGTCAAGCTGAAAAAAACTCTTCTTGGCAAAGAGGTGGGTGAGATTTTGGTTCTTTAAGGTTCCAGAATGTTCTGACCTCTTGTTGGTATTTCCTGGGCAGCGAAGCTTAGACCTTTTATCTCAGCTGTATATCCCTGAAAGACAGCTCACTTTAGGGTAGCAGAAGTTGTGTTTCCAGGGTCAGGCCACGCCTAGTGAGGCCTCTCAAGGTGTGGCACATAATGGGGGCTCCTGGGAGGCTTGGAGGAGCCACTCAGGCCCAACGAAGACTTGTTCTACTTTCCTGATCTCTTATAGGGGAGACTGGGGATTAGACCCAAAGTGCACAGGCTCCAAGATTTTAAGCAGATCCTCAAAGCTCACACTTCTATAAAACCGTAATAGAATCAGTGACCTTCAGTAAAGCTTTGGTGAAGGCCAAAGGGCTCTTTGAATCCATCATAACTGACACTGTGTTGTCATTTTCCTCTTGCAGAACATCGAGGCCTGGGTGACCACTCTCTAGAATCTTTAAGCTCCAGAATCACGGAGCGGAAGCTGCAGGGCACATGGCTGCCTGCTGGCCGAGGGAATCTGGAGAAACCACTCCTGGGGCCACGCGGCTCTGTGGTGCCCATGTTCAGCACTCAGAATGGTCTTCACTCCGTCCATGCTGACAGTAGTACCCTAAAGCCCAGGGTGGTGACCGTGGTGAAGCTGGGTGGGCACCCCCTCCGGAAGATCACTCTGCTCCTCAACAGACGGTCCGTGCAGAGCTTTGAGCAGCTCTTGGCGGACATCTCTGAGGCCCTGGGCTTTCCCAGATGGAAGAACGATCGGGTGAGAAAACTCTTCAACCTCAAGGGCAGGGAGATCAGGAGTGTCTCTGATTTCTTCCGGGAAGGGGATGCTTTCATAGCCATGGGCAAAGAACCGTTGACGCTGAAGAACATTCAGGTAGCTATAGAAGAACTGTACCCCAGCAAAGCCCGGGCCCTGACACTGACCCAGCACAGCCGAGCCCCTTCTCCCAGGCTGAGAAGCAGGCTTCATAGCAGGGCCCTGAGAGGGGGACACCACTGTGGGGAGACCGAGGCTGCCAAGAGCTGCGGTGAGGCTGCCCGGTCCAAGGCGGCCATCAGTCATCAGGGAAAGGCCCCCGTGGAGCCAGCGCTGGGGGACAGGGCCAGGCCCCAGAAGAAGTGGGTCGGGGGGAAGTGGGAGCCTGAGCCGGGCAGCAGGCCGCCCAGGGAAGCCACTCTGGAGAGACCTGCGAGCGGAGAGAAGCACCTGGGCGTGGAGATCGAAAGGACCTCCGGTGAGCTCATCCGATGTGAGAAGTGCAAGAGAGAGAGGGAGCTCCAGCAGGGCCTGCAGAGGGAGCGGCTGTCCCTGGGGACCAGTGAGCTGGACTTGGGCAAGTGCCACAGGTATGACGCAGCGGAGAAGCTGGTGAGGACCAGGAGCTGCAGGCGGTCCCCCGAGGCCCACCGTGCAGGCGGGGAGGAAGCGTGGAAGGGCGAGAGCCACAGGAGCAGCCCCAGGAACCCCACTCAGGAGCTGAGGAGGCCCGGGAAAAACCCGGACAAGAAGGAGGACAGAGACCCCGAAGGTCAGGAAGGTCAAGCTCAGGCAGCCGCCAAGGCCAAGAGGGAGCTCGGCGAAGCCCAGCCCGTCAGAGAGGAGGGGCTGCGGGACGTGAGGAGGGAGGCCAGGAGCGCCTGCAGGAGCAGGCCGGGCGGCCGGCAGCCCAGGGAGCAGCAGGCGGAGCCCGAGGCCCTCCCGGGGCCGCGCGGGGGCGAGCAGGACGCGCACCGGGAGAAGCAGCCCTGTACGGCGTCAGGGGCCAGAAAACCGGCCGCTCGCGGGGAGAGGGAGCCCAGGGGCGGTCGGAAGCGGCGGCCCGCGGGCCTCCTGGCGACCGACGTGCACAAGCACTACGAGGCGGGCCGCGTGCTCGGGGACGGCAACTTCGCCGTGGTCAAGGAGTGCCGGCACCGCGAGACCCGGCAGGCCTACGCCATGAAGATCATCGACAAGTCCAAGCTCAAGGGCAAGGAGGACATGGTGGACAGCGAGATCCTGATCATCCAGAGCCTCTCCCACCCCAACATCGTGAAGCTGCACGAGGTGTACGAGACGGAGGCGGAAATCTACCTGATCATGGAGTACGTGCAGGGTGGGGACCTCTTCGACGCCATCATGGAGAGCGTGAAGTTCGCCGAGCGCGACGCCGCGCTCATGCTCATGGACTTGTGCAGGGCGCTGGTGCACCTGCACGACAAGAGCATCGTCCACCGGGACCTCAAGCCGGAAAACCTGCTGGTAAGCCCTGACCTCCTGCTGGTAGGGAAGCATGTCTCCTGCACTGTTATCCCCCCATTCTGGAACACGGCCTTCGTGTTATTTTAACATTCTGTGCCAGGATTTAAAACTCTGGTTATAGGTCCTAAGTTGCGTTGGTGTTGATGACATTATTGAAAACGCAACCTTCCAATTTAAGTAAAACGGGAAGTGCTTCCTCATTCCTGGGAGAAAAATGCTTCCCCTTGACAGTGACCGGGTGGACTTAATTTCGGGTGTATTTGCACAGCCTCTGGCCTTGGTGCCGCAGCAGATTCCCTTGTGGGCTTTGTATCACCTTTGCTCGGAAACTCCCCCTGGCCTTTTGAAGAGAACCTCTTGTCAGGGGTATTCAAAAGGCTCAGCACTGCGGGGGCCCTTGTGTGAGGTGGGTGAGAGGCTGGCTCAAGAGTCCGATAACCTGGCTTTCTTAGTTACTTGCTGTAGGATAAGTCTTTCACCTCTCTGGGCCTTTGTTTCCTCATTTATAAAAGAGAAATAGCAATAGTACTTATCTGGCACGGCTGAGGGAGGATGTCTGGGAGCGGGCCTGGCATTCACCGCTCAGCTGTGGTGTTTTCCTGTTGACCATAGACAGTCTCACAGAACACCAGCACCGGGTAAGGACACTCCACAACCATGATGGATCCAGACAAAAGCAAGACCCCTTTATAATCATGTCCAAATGCAGATAAAACCAAGATTGTCCAAACCACAAAGATGGCCACACATTCACTTTTGGCTACTAGGGGTGACTTCCTCCTACCTTCTTGGTAAGAATTACTGAGGCACCCAGTTGTAGAATTACCCTCACTTCCTGACAGTATCCAATTCAGAGCAAAATCCTGCTTTCGTGAGCCCTCCCCCAAATCACCTAACAACCCCAATCTTAAAGTCCTTTGAACACCCTCTTATTTGGCTTACTGGATCCCAGTGGTGTGCATTCTCTCTTGTTGCAATGAGTCCGTAAACCCAGTGTTCCTTAACTGCAAGTGTGTTCCTGGTGGTCTCTGTGAGGACAGCGTGCTTCACATGGTCACCCTCTGGCACTTTTATCCTACTTTTTTTTTCCTTTTAAGATCTTATTTATGTATTTGAGAGAGAGACAGAGACAGAGAGAGAGAGAAAGAGAGGGAGAGCATGAGTGGGGGGACGGGCAGGCAGAGGGAGAAGTAGACTCCCCGCTGAGCAGGCAACTGGATGAGGGGCTTGATCCCAGGACCCTGGGATCATGACCTGAGCTGAAGGCAGATGCTTAACCACCTGAGCCACCCAGGCGCCCCATCCCACTTTCTTCTTAGCCCTGATCGCCACCTGATACGTTCCCTATTTATTCTTCTTTTTTCTTTGTCCTCTTACAGGAAAGACAGTCCCATGATAGCAGTGCTTTGTTTTATTCAGACTTTACCCCAAAACCTTGAACAGTTCTGTCACATGGTGAACCATCTTTAAATAGTAGTTAGATGAAGGAAGGAATTCAGATCAGAGCGTGCTGCCTGCCAAACAGCAAGCATTCTGTCAGTGGTGGCTACCATCATTATTATTCCTTTAGAAATGACTCTGATGTTAAGGTGGATATCACGAGCAGGCATCCAGAGCCGGATTGCTGCAGATAGAGCACCAGCGAATGGGGAAAATGATCTCCATGAGCCACGTTTTTATTTATGTTTTCCTTTTTGGCAGGGCTTTAGCCTGTTTTCTTAAATTTCATGCCTGTAGACCCAGCCTGGGAGTATCATTCCTCGGTACATTCATATATCTGTAAACTGTGCCCACGAGCAAACAGAAATACCGAGTAAATCAAACAAAGTATCTGGTGAAATGAAGTCAATGTTGACCACAAAGTCGAGCGACCTTGTTTTGGCCCAAATTTATAGAATTGAAGAAGCAGTTTGACTGGTTTCTTGAGAGGTCTGAAATACCATCACATGTCTCCCTCTGAAAAAAGTTCAATTCTGCCTTAGTTGGGTGTTCTCATCCTTTCTTCAGCTGCTTTTTGATTGTTTCTGTCTTTTGGGTCGGAGCCCGTGCGTTCTCCATGTGCAGTGCACTGCTTGCTGTTTATTATGGAGACATTCGAATGAGCCTCTGATCTTTTCACTGAATTGTCTCAGCAGAAGAGGTTCTGATTAGAGGCTTGGGTGGGTCCCCCTGAGCTGACCATTCTGGGCATGGGCCTAGCCAAGCATTATAACGGTTATACAAGTTCTTGAGTATGTGGAATGAGATAATGTATCCTCTAGGATTAATTTCTTTTGGGGACAGTCATCTCCGCTTGCATTTTCTCAGCCGGGTCCTTGAGCCAGTGTGTCGAGCCAGCTTATCTCTTGGGCAACAGCAGCTCTCACCTGTGTTACGGATGCACTCGTCAGCAGTTTTTAAAATGGAGAGCGCACCGGTTTAGATTTCATGGAGAAGTTTACTTGAGGAATTAGACAAACTGCAAGGAATATGTTTAGTTTGGACAAGCTGACTGCCTTTGAGAGGTCATTTGACAACTCTGCATGGATTTAAATGTCAGGACATGTGTGTTGTTAGTGCCCTTAAGGGCAATGAGGTGTGTACGTGTGTGTGTGTGTGTGCGTGGTGTTGGGGTTGTGTGTGTGTGTATGTGTGTGTGTGTGGTGTTGGGGACGTGTGTGTGTGTGTGTGGTGTTGGGGACGTGTGTGTGTGTGTGGTGGGGATGTGTGTGTGTGTGGTGGGGACGTGTGTGTGTGTGGTGGGGACGTGTGTGTGTGTGTGTATGTGTGGTGTTGGGGACGTGTGTGTGTGTGTGGTGTTGGGGACGTGTGTGTGTGTGTGGTGTTGGGGACGTGTGTGTGTGTGTGGTGGGGACGTGTGTGTGTGGTGGGGACGTGTGTGTGTGTGGTGGGACGTGTGTGTGTGTGTGTGTGTGGTGGGGACGTGTGTGTGTGTGGTGGGGACGTGTGTGTGTGTGTGATGGGGATTGTGTGTGTGGTGGGGACGTGTGTGTGTGTGATGTTGGGGACGTGTGTGTGTGTGGTGGGGATGTGTGTGTGTGTGGTGGGACGTGTGTGTGTGTGTGGTGTTGGGGACGTGTGTGTGTGTGTGGTGGGGATGTGTGTGTGTGGTGGGGACGTGTGTGTGTGTGGTGGGGACGTGTGTGTGTGTATGTGTGGTGTTGGGGACGTGTGTGTGTGTGATGTTGGGGACGTGTGTGTGTGTGGTGGGGATGTGTGTGTGTGTGGTGGGACGTATGTGTGTGTGTGGTGGGGACGTGTGTGTGTGTTGTGGGGATGTGTGTGTGTGTGGTGGGGACGTGTGTGTGTGTGTTGGGGATGTGTGTGTGGTGGGACGTGTGTGTGTGTGTGGTGGGGATGTGTGTGTGTGTGGTGGGGACGTGTGTGTGTGTATGGTGGGGACGTGTGTGTGTGTGTGGTGGGGACGTGTGTGTGTGTGTGTGTGGTGGGGATGTGTGTGTGTGGTGGGACGTGTGTGTGTGTGTGTGTGTGTGGTGTTGGGGATGTGTGTGTGTGTATGTGTGTGTGTGTGGTGTTGGGGACGTGTGTGTGTGTGTGGTGTTGGGGACGTGTGTGTGTGTGTGGTGGGGATGTGTGTGTGTGTGGTGGGGACGTGTGTGTGTGTGGTGGGGACGTGTGTGTGTGTGTGTATGTGTGGTGTTGGGGACGTGTGTGTGTGTGTGGTGTTGGGGACGTGTGTGTGTGTGTGGTGGGACGTGTGTGTGTGTGTGTGTGGTTGGGACGTGTGTGTGTGTGGAGGGGACGTGTGTGTGTGTGTGGTGGGGACGTGTGTGTGTGTGGTGGGATGTGTGTGTGTGTGTGTGGTGGGGACGTGTGTGTGTGTGGTGGGGACGTGTGTGTGTGTGTGTGTGGTGGGGACGTGTGTGTGTGGTGTTGGGGACGTGTGTGTGTGTGTGGTGGGGATGTGTGTGTGTGTGGTGGGGACGTGTGTGTGTGTGTATGTGTGGTGTTGGGGACGTGTGTGTGTGTGGTGGGGACGTGTGTGTGTGTGTGGTGGGGACGTGTGTATGTGTGTGTGTGTGGTGGGGACGTGTGTGTGTGTGTGGTGGGGATGTATGTGTGTGGTGGGGACGTGTGTGTGTGGTGGGGACGTGTGTGTGTGTGGTGGAGACATGTGTGTGTGTGTGTGGTGGGGATGTGTGTGTATGGTGGGGACGTGTGTGTGTGTGTGGTGGGGATGTATGTGTGTGGTGGGGACGTGTGTGTGTGGTGGGGACATGTGTGTGTGTGTGTGGTGGGGATGTGTGTGTGTGGTGGGGACGTGTGTGTTTGTGTGTGGTGGGGACATGTGTGTGTGTGTGTGGTGGGGATATGTGTGTGTGTGTGGTGGGGATGTGTGTGTGTGGTGGGGAAGTGTGTGTGTATGTGATGGGACGTGTGTGTGTGTGGTGGGTATGTGTGTGTGTGTGTGTGGTGGGGACGTGTGTGTGTGTGTATGGTGGGGACGTGTGTGTGTGTGTGGTGGGACGTGTGTGTGTGTGATGGGGACGTGTGTGTGTGTGGTGGGACGTGTGTGTGTGTGTGTGGTGGGACGTGTGTGTGTGTGTGTGGTGGGACGTGTGTGTGTGTGGTGGGGACGTGTGTGTGTGGTGGGGACGTGTGTGTGTGTGTGTGGTGGGACGTGTGTGTGTGTGGTGGGGACGTGTGTGTGTGTGTGTGGTGGGGACGTGTGTGTGTGTGGTGGGGACGTGTGTGTGTGTGTGTGGTGGGACGTGTGTGTGTGTGGTGGGGACGTGTGTGTGGTGTTGGGGACGTGTGTGTGTGTGGTGGGGATGTGTGTGTGTGTGGTGGGGACGTGTGTGTGTGTGTGTGTGTGGTGGAGATGTGTGTGTTTGGTGGAACGTGTGTGTGTGTGGGGGGACGTTTGTGTGTGTGTGGTGGGGACGTGTGTGTGTGTGTGGTGGGACGTGTATGTGTGTGTGTGTGGTGGGACGTGTGTGTGTGTGTGTGGTGGGGACGTGTGTGTGTGGTGTTGGGGA